AATTTAATTCAGTTCTGACACTACTGGAGCTAGTGTCAGATCCCACAGGTTAAGGGCTCGGTCTTACAAGGCTCTCCACCCCCTACCCGCCCCCCGCTTCAGACGCCAGCCCCAAGTCCAGGTTGTTACCTGTGCTTCTGACCAAGTAGCTATAGATTGGAGACTCCCACGACCCCCTCCTCAGGTTCAATTAATTTGCTAGAGTGGCACACAGAACTCAGAGAAACATTTTACTCACCAGATTACCAGGAATACCCAGGTGGGACAGAGACACAGGGCGAGGTATGAAGAAAGGGCAGGGAGCTTCCATGCCCTCTCTGAGTGCACCATTCTGCCCATGTCTGCATGTGTTCACCAACCCAGAAGCTCTCTGAACCTCACGCTTTTGGAATTTTGGTGCAGACTACTTCTTCTTCTTCTTCTCCTTCTCCTTCTTCTTCTTTTTGTGTCTGCACCACGTGGCGTGTGGGATCTTAGTTCCCTGACCAGGGATCGAACCCATGCCCTCTGCAGTGGAGGCATGGAGTCTTAACCACTGGACCACCAGGGAAGTCCCTGCGGAGGCTTCATTACGTAGGCCTGAGCAATCATTAACTCTGAAGGACAGGAGGCTGGTGCTGAAAACTCCAAGCTTCTCAACATGGCTTGGTCTTTCTAGAGACTGGCCCCAATCCAGGCGCCCACCCTGAGTCACTTCATCAGAAAAAAAAGACACTCCTGTCACTCAGGAAACTACAAGGGTTTTAGGAGCTCTGTGCCAGGTACTGGGGGCAGAGACCAATATATATATTTTTTCTATTATCTCACAGGCATCAAGGCTTAGAGAAAAACCTCTCGAGTTGTGCTCGGCTGGACATCGCAGCCACAATGCACATCTCTAACAAAGAGCCCAGAAAGTCGTTAGCAGCTCACTTTGCGGAAGAAAACCTGTCTGCTCTCAGGGGTGCTGAGAGCGTGTCCGAGTAATACGGCAAGTGTGGGAAATGCAGCTTCCACTCCGAGGATACAGATCTAGTTATCCTGGGAGATTGTGGGAAAGTTTAAGTTGTAGACATGTATGTACCTAAGGGTGTATTGTGTGCAGGTGGAAAAGCATTCCTAATCTGGGGGATGGGAAGAGATGCTACAGGGAGTTTCCACGAACCCCTTTGCCTCCTGTGGCTCACACAAACCAAGTGTTTGTTCCTGGGTTGCTCATGAAGCCAGCTGCTTCCTTCTCTCTCTTCCCTTTATCCAGCCTGGGTTTCCTCACACAACTTGGGCGAAACTGGTGTCCCGAGCAGCAAGGCTGTGCCCTCTCCCCTCATCACTGGCCCTCCACGTCCAGTGTAAGGCCCCTCATTCATTCGTGTAAGCCAGATCTCCATAGACCAGACAGAGTCTAAGGTAGGAGTGGGACTCCAAAGAGAAGAATAATAGCAATCCCTCCTCATACAAACCATCGCACCTCCTCCTCACTGAGAGCTTTTGCTGTACTTATGGAGTGAGTGCTTTGTGACTATGGCGCAGTCCCAGCTCTCAAGGGGCTCGCGGACTAGTGGGAGAAAAGAGAAATGCACGTGGAATTTCAACCCAGAGTGCCAGGAGCAGCTCTGGGGGAGGTGAGGGTGCGAGGATACTGTGCCTCGCTCCACACTCACTGTGCTTCCCCAGTAGTTCTCTCTGCTCCCAGAGGGAAGCCTAGCAGGGCCCTTACGTCAAGAGACTGAGGACACCTGGGTGAATGGCTGGGGGAGAGGGGACTGGCAGGGGTGGTGTTTTCCGGGATGGGACTGTCAGGTTCTCTTCCATCCCCAGAGAGTGGCCCTGGCACACACGGGTTCTGCCACTGGGAAGAAGTCATCTGAGGCCATCACTGCACAAGAGAATATTGTGCAGGACATTATTGTTGAGGCATGAAGCATTTTTTCCTCTTTCCCTTTGCCCTTCCCTTCAGGAAGGGTATGAAGGGGTGGAGGGCAGAAAAAAAGAGGCTTCCAGCCTTTGGTTTCCAACAGCTTAGCTCTTAGGGGAATGGAGAGAGTTATGGGCATAAACAGGGTGCTGGGAGGAAGGAAGGAAGAGTGAGAGGGAGAGAGAGAGAGATGTTCTTGGTCCCCCAGAGAAAGCGCCTCTGGTCTGTACTTACTTGGGGAGCCAGAGCCTAGCCTGGGATGGGTGGCTTCTGGCCTCACTGAAGCAGGACTAGTTGGGGGCCCATCACCCCCCCCACCTCATGCTTTGCAGAGATCTGAGCTTGAATTGTTGCCCTGCTACTTCCTACCCTGGGGGGTTTTTTTTTTTTTTTTTTTTTTTTGCGGTATGCGGGCCTCTCACCGCTGCGGCCTCTCCCGTTGCGGAGCACAGGCTCCGAACGCGCAGGCCCAGCAGCCATGGCTCACGGGCCCAGCCGCTCCGCGGCATGTGGGATCTTCCCGGACCGGGGCACGAACGTGTGTCCCCTGCATCGGCAGGCGGACTCCCAACCACTGCGCCACCAGGGAAGCCCTGCCCTAGCGTTTTGAGTCAAGTCATTTCCTTCTTGGAGCCACAGCTTTCTCACCTGTAAAATGGGGATCGTGCTGGCCTCTCCCCGGCACTGTGGTTGTTGAGAGGGTGGGCAGGGAGGAGAGCGCAGCAAGCCTGGCCCACACCTGCCAGCTCCTGTCCCTCCTCGGGCCTCCCTCTTCTCTCCTTCCCCTCGGCCCCTTGTCCCTCTGGGCCTTGAGGGCCCAGGAGTCTCAGCTCTCCTGCTGTCGGTCTGCGGCCCTCCTCCCTTCCCTCCCACAGTAACCAGCCCCAGCTGGCCCCTCCCCTCCCCGTCTGCTCATTAATTGCCAGGCGCAGCCTCTTCTAGAGGAGGGGAGCCTTTCCACCGGCTGTCTTGTCCTGTGTTGCAGCCATGCTGGCCTCAGGGCTGCGACTGTCCCTCTGCACAGCAGGTAAGGCCACCACCTGGGCAGGAGGGCACCAGGCTCCACGCACGTCCAGGGCACAGACCTGTGGGAAGGGTGCCTCTCCCCGAGGTGCCCAGACTTTGGGGTTGAAGGGGAGACAAAGTGGGAAGCAATGACTGTTTCTGCATGTCAGCCTGGCTCCCCGCCCCTGCCCTGCCTCCTCTCACCCCTTCCCTGCCCCCCACCTGCCCGCACCCCACCACCAGGGGTCAGAGCCTGGAGCTGGCTGTTTTATGTAGAATTTCACTCATTCATTTCTTCACTGACGCATCTAACCAACACATTAAGTGCTGATGGGTGCCAGTCGGGAATGGTGCCCCGCCTTACGGAGCCCACATCCTAGTGGGGGTCAGAGACGTTCGGCAAGAAGACAGTAAACAAGATCATCACAGAATGTGACAAGAGCAATGAAGGAGATGATCAGGGTGACGAGGGACAGTCACAGGGAGATGCATGTCGGGGATTCTTTAGGTCAAGTGGGCGGGAAGGTTTCTCTGAGGAGGGGAGATTTGGGCTGAGCCTAAGGGCTAAAATGAAGGAACCTCAAAGAATAAAGCTAGAGAAAGGTCCCGAGGCCTGGGGTCGAGCCCTGTGGATGAGTAGGGTGTATGCATGAGCAAGTGCGGGAGCCTGTGGAGGCTTTTCCTATGACAGCAGGGCCAGGACACACAGGGCTTGGGGACTGTGGTAAGGAGCCCGCCCTGTGGCCCGCGGCAGTGACAAGGGGAGCATCTCAGAAAGGTCCTTCTGCACGCAGAGTGGGGAGGGGACTGTGATAGTGGAGGATAGAAGCAGAGAGAGCCTTTGGGGCTGCTGCTGTCAGTCCCAGGGAGGGGATGGTGACTTAGGCCAGGGTGGCAGTGGGCACGGAAAGAAGTGGAAAGTTCAAGAAGGTCCAAGATGCACACTTGCTGTAGAAGCAATGGGATCTGCCAAGACAGAGACAGAGAGGCACCAACAGTGACTCCTGGGTGGGGCTTGAGGTGCTGGGGTGAGGGGCGCCATGTGATGAGCTGGGACGACTAGGACGGGCCGATTGGCAGGGTGAACCCATGTGCATGTGAGAAAGCGACAGTCGGACACCTACACTGAGCTCCAGGGTGGAGGCTGTGTCTGGGAATTGTCATCTCAAGGTGTTTAAAGCCAGGAGATCAGCTGGGGCAGCAGGGTTTTTCACACTGTGGGTTGGGACCCATTACGTCCTAAAGTCAATTTAGTGGACCACGCCAGTGATTTTTAAAAAATAAACAGAATAGGATAAACAAATATCAAAGTGAATCACATATCACAAGAAAGTAATTTCTTTCTATTCCTTTTCTCCTGCCCAGGGATCCTCCAACTTCTCTCAGCAACAGGCAGCATCTTGTTGGCCTCTGGTGGGTGTGAGGAACATCATTCTTTCGGCAGGCACTTCATCAGGCCTTTCCCGTGTCCTCCCCCATTGTGCACATACTTGCCCCTCTGTGTGCCCGGTTTTTCAGTCTTATTTTGCTCTCCTAGGGCTCTGGCTTGAGGCTGGACGCCCCCCTCTCCCACCCCAAGACCCTGAGCAGAGCAGTCCTTAACCAGCCCTCATTTTTGTGGATGGATTAAGGAAGGAAGGAAGTGAACATTGAGTTCCTGGGGTTCGGGTCGGTTCCTGGGAGAAGTCTGTGCTCATTCGTTCACTCATTCATTCATTTTCAATACACCCAGCCCCTCTGATGTGCTGGGCACTGGGAATATAATGAAGAATAAGGCTGGTTCTTTGCTCCCAAGCTGCCTGGACCTGGTGGTGGAAAAGGTCCTTTTCCCCAGGGACTTTAAACAAATTCTAATGCTAGTCCCAGCAAGAGATTCAGATCCTTGCCGTTGGGCGTCTTGGGCATTGGTGTATTGGAAAAGTTCCCCAGGTGATTCTAATGTGCAGCCGCAGTTATGAGCCTGTGACACCTACATCAGGGCAAAACCATGCTCTGTCTAAGGGCCTTGCCCTGGGAGCCCCACCCATGGTCCCTGGGCCCTGGTTCTACCCCTTTCCACTGGGTGGCCTTGGCTAAGTCACTTAACTCTCAGTGACTTGGTTTTTTAATTTGTAAAACAGTCATGGTGATGTCTATCCTAGGGAGTTAGTTGTTGGAAAGGATTCAGTGAGCTAATCGCACCTGGTGAGTGCTCAGTAAACACTTTCTACTGTTGCTAAGCATTAACAAAGGTACATTGTAGCTCATAGGAAGGGAGCCTGCCCAGGATGGGGCAGAGGGAAGGGGGAGATGAGAAATGGGAGAATGGGGGATCGAGGGCGCAGGTGAGGATGGCCAGTCTTTCAGGCCAAGAGAGCAGCTTGTGCAGAGGCCTGGAAGCAGAGCTGTGGAGCTGTGCAAGTGGAGGGCGGGAGGTGAGGGGTGGAGTGGGTTAGGAGAGGCTGGGGAGGCTGCCTGTGGTGCGGTTGAACACCCGGGATTTGGGAGTAGGGTAGGGGCAGCCACACGATGACAATCTCTCCCGCCCCAGCCCTGCAGCTGACCAGTGACAGCAAGACCTTCTGGAGGGTGGAAGAGGAGCTGAGCTGGTCTGAGGCCCTGGAGTGCTGCCGGCAGCACCGCACAGACCTGGCCGACCTGCAGAGCATGAGCGACTGGAGCAACATCAAGACCCTCTATTCCCTTACCAGCAGCACCGCGGCCTGGATCGGCCTCTTCTTCCACGTGCGCCTTGGGGGCCTGAGATGGTCCAGCGGCTCCACCTTCAGCGTGCCAGTGTGGAGCTCGCCGCCGTCTTCGAGGAGGGTCTCTGTGCCACTCTGTATTCAATAGCCATTTTCCCCAGCCTGGGGGCCGCCTCGTGCACTGCTCAGAAGCCCTTCATCTGCTACTACGGTGTGTTCAGAGTCATATTCTGGGCCTGGTCTTCCTCCTAGGGTTTTGCTTCTCAAGAGTAAATGAGAGAGAGAGAGAGTGAGCGAGCCTGGGTCTGGCTCAAGCCTTTCAGAGGATAACTATCAGCTTAACGCTTTTTTGCTACATCCTTCTCTGCCGCCTTAGTTTCTATCTCTTCTGTCCCTCATTCCAAACGCTCCATCAGAGAAACGGGTGTAAATCAGGGTAGTCAAAAAGTAAAATCTGAAATGTTCCACTATGTCCCCTCCTTCTGCCAATTAAGGATCTGGGGAAAGAGGAAAAAGAAAGGGAGGAAAATGGGAAAGTCAGGTTGGGGATCCATTTGCGTCTGTGCAGAAACCAGAGCAGAGTCCAAGGTCTCTCTCCTCGTTAAAGCGCAGGGTGGCTTTGTCTCGCAGGGCTGGGGGAATGTGGAACAGCCACTCTCTAGGAGAACCCCTGCTTTGGGGAGGTAGGTGGGTGCCTCTCTGCAGAAAAACCATTTACTCAATGCACCTGGTGCCGGCTGTTGGGGAACAGCCCCCCATCCTTGCCCCCTGGCTGGCTCCTCTCTGCCCAGGCAGCCCATGCCACTGACCCTTGTCTTAAAGGTGCTGAGATCACACGGGGGATGGTTATAGACAGCAAGTTCCTGATAAAAAGTGCCAATTTCTGCTTTTCTCTCAGGCACACCCCAACTCCTCAAATAGGGGTATGGGGGACCAACCCAACGTGTCCCCAATTCTCTGCACACCATGCCCGTCATGGGGCCTTGAAATGTAGCCCAGGGTAGCCTAGGTTTGATCTGGCAATGCCCAAGCCAGAAAAGAAATTTTTCCAGGAGTGGTGAGTGTGCCGGGGTGGGGATGGGAGCCCCCTTGAAGGAAGGGCTGTGCGTGTGGGGCTCTCCCTACTCCCCCTGGAGTCTTTGGACTCCACCCAGACGTGTTCTAACTGCATCCACTTCTCTCCAGCTCTGCAGGTCCACACACCAGCACAGCTCTCCGTGGCGTCTGCCCGGCCCACTCCCGTCTGTTCTGTACAGAGTGAACTCTTAAAAATGTAAATCAGACCAGTTTGCTTAAACACATTCAGTAGGTTCCCTTAGCACTTAGAATCACTTCCTTTTTGTAGCCAACCCAGCCCTGCTTGAGACCTTTGGCCTCATCTCCTATTTCTCTCCCTGGCCACACTGGCTGCTTTCCACTCCTCAAACATACGTGGCCCCTTCCCACCTTAGCTCTGCCCGGGGTATTCCTTCCTACCTCTTTGCAAGGCTGGCTCCTTCTCATATTCTCTTCAAGAACAAAGATCTTGCTTGTCTTATACCTGTTATTTTTCCAGGGCCTACGATAGTGTCTGTCACACAGCGGGTGCTCAATAGATATATCTATTTATGGACTACACGTAGATAGGAACAAAGGAGCCTCTCTACCCTGGAGCTACGTTTCTCCTGGCTTCAACTTGGCGGTCCCCGGTGCCCACAGAGCACGCTGGGCAGCCGCACTCCCGCCCCATAACATGTGGCCCGTTTCACAGGGGAGGAGCGGGGGTGGGGGGGGGAAGGTCTCCAACCAGTCCAGGCTGCATCCCAGTCTTCTGGTGCCCCTACCCTTAGTGGCTTGGGGGTGGGGGGCAAGGGTAGCACTTCTCCGCAGTCCAGGCCCATCCACCTGGTGAGGGGGATAGTACTGCCCTGATATTTTACAAAGCGTTGCTTGGTGTCTGGTTAGAAACACTTCAAAGGAAATTCACTCCTCAGCCTGCTTTGTAAAGTTGGTTTTCTGCTCGTTGTGGAACATGGCGCTGTGGAGTGAAGATAGCACAGGCTTCCGGGGAGGGCGGACCCGCATTTGAATCTCGTCTTGCCACTTAATAAGGCATGAGTTTGGGCAAGTCATCACCTCCCCGAGTCTCCCTTTTCTCCTCCGTAAATGAGGTTAATAACATCTGCGTCTCAGGATTATAGTGAGGATTTTAAAAGTTGACGTGTGCGACACGCAAAGCTCAGGGCTGGCGAGGACTAGGTGCTTGAAAAAGGGTAGCTTTAAAAGACCAGTTTAGATAGGGAACATGAGGGAAATAGGCAAATCTTGACGGGGCTTTGGTGAGCAGGCATGTGTCAGAGAGGTTGGGAGGCCCTATTTGAGGATGTGATTCCCAATTTTGCAAACACAGGTGTTTCCTTTAAGGGGTCTCTGGAATCAATCCCTCAGGTGGTGCCAAACCACCTCCTTTCCAAACTTCCCTTGTTTAGAATCACAGATGCTTGTGTGGGCAGATGAGACAGGCCTGACCAGGGGCAGGGCAGGCGGGGGCTGGAGGTAGAGGCTGTGAGAGGCTGAGTCTTGGTCTGAGCTCCACCAGAAGTCAGGGCCACTGACCAGCAGGTGTGCCCCTCGCCAGGCTCACCTCTTGTCCCTGGCTCTCCTGATGGTGTGAGCCTGAGACTATCACACACTCCCTCTATCCTGCCTCAGCCGGGAGCCTCCTGAGAGCCCATGTGGCAGGCACAGGCCCTGGAAACCACAAATGAGGCTGATTCCAGACCAGGATCGTCCCATCTCCCTCATCACCTCCCTGCAAAGTTTAACCCTACCATTTAATTGAGTGTTTAATATTTGTATACGTGGTTTCATTTAATCCTTTAAACGAAATACATTTAGGTACTATTATTATCCCTGTTGTACAGATGGAGAAATTGAGGCTTAGACTTGACTTGTAAGGCCATACAGCCAAGAGGAGAGTTCTTAACCCCTGCCTTTCCTAATGAATGGTCTTTCCCCCAGCTGCTGCTATGATAGCTCATTCACTCTCCCAGTCTGGTATTTAGTCTGCCTATAGACTTGTGGGTTCGATCAAACCTAACTCCTGAGGATGGGGAACAAGGGCAGGGCCCAAACCAGGGCTCTGTCCTGGGGGCGATGAGGGCTGAGCAGGCAGAGATCCTGGACCTCAAGCCTGTGGTCGCTACATTCTTTGCCCACAGCTGAGGTTCAGATCGGCAATCTGAACTTCAAGCAATGTGACCAAGAAAGGAAGTGGCTGGCAGCTGTGAGGTACTGCCGCAGACACCACACAGACCTGGCTGACCTGCAGACAGTGACTGAGGAGACAGACAAGGAGGCCTTGAAACCCATCACGAGTTAGACTGAGGCCTGGATTGGCCTCTACTTCAGTGTGGCCTCTGGGTCTCTGAGATGCTCCAGTGATGTGGGTGCCAGCGTCCCGACCTGGCTGCAGGTGCCTGAGTTTGGGGCAGGACTATGTGCGGGTCTCCGCAGCTACTGGAGCTTCTCCGCCAGAATTTCTGCAGTGGCCTGCTTTTCCCTGAAACCCTTCATCTGCTTCCATGGTGCGTGACAGTCGTCCCCACTGCCCCTTGACCCACCAAGGCTAGGCTGGGATGGGAAACGAGTTTTCTTGGCAGCCGGAGGTGATGAGGATACACCTAAGGAAGTATTTATAGATTCTGAGGGGAGCAGAGTTATTCTGGAACAGGTTTTAATTTAATTTAATGGCTAATTCCATCTAGCCTCAGGGCATTAGCAAGTAGCAACAGCAATTACTTATTGCGCAATAAAGAGGTTAAAAGTGTGGGCTTTGGAATCAGACTTTATCACTTGCTAGAAATAAGATGAGCGGCATCTCTGAGCCTCATTTCCCTCATGTGGAAAAAACAAAATGGTATTGATGACGCACCTTATAAGATGGCTTTGAAGAATGAATGAGAATAAATATAAGGGACCTAGTAGAGACCCTGGCACAGAGTAAGCACCCAAAAGATACTAGCTACTGACACTGTTGTTGTCACCACAGTCACATGGGAACCAGAGGCCCACCTGGTTATTCTGGATCTTGTGTGTGAAACGTCTCCTCAGCAACAGACTTCATCCTGCTTTGTCATTTCCGTCTCTCTTCTCTTTCCTCCCTTCCTTCTTTCCTTCTTGTTTGTATCAGCCTTATTGAGATATAATTCATGTACCTTTAAAATTCACTCTTTTGAGGTGGCCAGTATAGTGAGATTTAGTACATACCCAGGTGGTACAATCATCACTACTATCTAATTTTAAGACATTTGTATCACCCCCAATAAGAAACTCTTTACCCTTTAGCAGTGACCCCCCCATTCTCTCACACCCTCAGCCCTTGGCAACCACTAATCTACTTTCTGTCTCTGTGGATTTGCCTATTCTTGGCTGTTTTCTTTTTGTATTCTGGATTTGATGAGAATCATGATCCTTATCCGTAAAATAGGAACAATGGTTCCTCCCTTGTTGTGAGGAATAAAGATTGTGAACATACCTGTCCTGTGACAGGGGCCCTCCTGAGTTTGGCTCCTGTGATGGGAGGCTGGTCATCAGTGTCTGGTGGGATCTCTCACAGGCGTGTCGGCTGTGGCAGACCTGGGGGTGCTGTGTCCCCCCTCATCAGCCCTGCCCTCACACTCACCGGTGGTGTTTTCTTGCAGACCCCACCATTGGACACCGGGAGTCAGCAGCCCTCCCTCAGCTCTCCTACACACCCTCCTCAGAAGTGACCATGGGGACAACGCCCAGGCCAAGTACCCTCCCCTGTTTTCTGCTCTCTATGGGTGCTTTGAGCCTGTTCTTGGCTGGATTCTGGGGTCTCCAGGGCCTAGGAAGTGGAGAGGGTAGCCTGGATGCAGCAGCACAGGGTGGGTCCCATGGGATCCTCCCCAAAGGGCCAGGGAGGGGTCAGGAAAGAGGTGAACCAACGGGGTGGCGACCATGGGCCACTTATGGAGAGGGATTTCCCTGGCCCCCCCCCCCTCTGCTGGGCCGGCTGGGGTTTGGAGGAGGAGGACTCGGTCACCATCAACCTCCTTCCTTGAACTGGACCACTGGACTTGCAGCTCCCGGGCCAGGGGACCCAAGAGAGGTTGTGCAGTCTCTCAGGTGAGGTGATGAGGGCCTGGCCTGGGAGACAGATGGGAAGACGCCCTCACTGCCCAGCTGAGCAGTACTTCTGAGGAAAAATCATCAGAGAGGCCTCTGAGGTTCAGCATCCAGAGAGGGAA